GAACCAAGATTTGATTGTTAGCTTACTTCTTCTGAGTGTAAAGGTCAGAAGAGCAACACCTTTAAATTGTGAGAGAAAAAAAAATAGCCTCTCAACACAAAATTCTAAATTAAAAAAAAATACATGTTTATGAATAAAGACCAAATAAAGACATTTTCACATAAAGGAATCTATCACCAGTAGTACTGCACTATAAGATATCCTAAAGGAAGTCTCTCAGGCTGATGGGAAATGAAACCAGAGATTTGAGCATCTTTTTAAATGATTATTGGCCATTGCATTTGTGAATTGACAGTTCATATTATTTACATACATTTGTATTTTCCTGATTATTAATAAGGTTGAACAGTTTTTGAATGTTTATTGGCCAATGAATTTGTTTTATGAATTGATAATTTATATCATTTACCCAATTTTTCTATTAAATTTCTTAGCAATTTGAAGAGCTTCCCTTAGGCTCTATAAATACAAACCTTGTATTTGTAACACAGCTAATTACCTTTATGGCATCTTGTACCAAAAATGTTTAATCTTTCTTGATGAAATATATCTGTAGGTCGATTTTTATTTTCTGGGTATCCTACCTTATAAAGAATATCGTGAGCCCCTAAAATACATTCACAGGCATCCTAAAATTTATCACTTGTTTTTAAGATTAATGACTCAAAATAACCTTTTTGTTGTTGTTGTTGTTAATGGTTTCTCACTAATCCATCTGTTTTGTTTTTGTTTTTGTGAATGACAGTGCTTCTTGTTCTTTTCTGTGCCATGGACTTCCTTGAGAATCTGATAAAAGCTGTGAACCTGTTCCCTAAAACATTGTATATACCCACCAAATTTTGCATGTGTTATCAGAAGCTTTGCAGAGTATTGATTTGTAGCCAGTACATAAGATTCTTGATTCCATTAAGGAAATAATTCCTTCATAAATACCATTTTTTTGTTTATCCATTAGAGTAATATCAGAAGTTTTGATACTGGTATATTAATTAATTTGATTCATTATTGCTTAGATACAAAATCTTCAAGTAGTTTATATATTTTAAAATAAAGGGCAAGCTCTGCATATAAGGCATGCCCAGAACAAATTCATTGTCATGTTAGACATTATTGTAGGTCTGTGTATCAACTATGGTGAACTAAGCTACTAAGTCAGTTCCTAGAACTGACTGCCATTCAAGTGCCTTAGTATAAATATTTAACCCAGTTGAATATTCAGAGTTTTTGTTTCTAAGGGTGATTTTCATTAGCCCTTCCCTTTAACTTAACTGTTTTACCGAAGTTACCCAATTCTCTTTAAAGTCTCTTTGACCTTAAAAATTGTATTTATTCTAAAATTAAGAGACCCTGTAGAATCCTATTTTTAATATAATAAATTTCAATTTCCTTTAGCCAATAAATAGATATATTTTGTTTTCTTATAAAAGCATTTCTAGGAACATAAAACCATATTTGCATTTTGGGGTTGTAAGTATGTGGAACTAGAGAAAGAATGGATTTATGCTTTTTATCCTGTTTATTCATAGTTTTTATTGCTATAAAATTATGTTCAGTTTTCAGAAAGGCAGTGGAATTTGACATCACTGTCTAGGAACACAGCATTGGATTTAGACAAAACTGGATTTGTATTCTAGTACCACTCATTTTTAATTTTTCTGAGCCCCTGATTTTCATTTTTATCTTTAAGCAAAATTAGACTGGGCAAGGGCTATGCTTTATATGAAAAGGCTTTTAAATTTGGCAAAAACTCTTTTTTTTTTTTTGAAACTGAGTTCTAATGATTAGTGACGACCTGCATGCCAGATGAGCTAGCCTTTTTAAGTTTGTATTCACTTAGAGCTCTTTGGTGTTCACCATGAACACCAATTTGTTGAAATTCCATCCCTGCTTGGTTTCCATTGAAATTGTGTATCCATGGTTTTCTTCTTCTATCTTTATGGTTACTCTTCTATCTGACTCTCTCTCCTAATACCCTGCAAAGCAAGTTCTTCCTGCCTAACTGGATGGAACTTTTCATTGCCCCTATATCATTTCCTGCCCTGGGCTATTGCTCTTGCTAGTCTTATGACTGGAATGGCCTTTTGCATCCACTTAAATTGCATCTATCCTTCAGGAATGTATCCCCTTGAGAATTAGCACAGCCTCTCCAGTCCAATTAAGTCTCCTTTATGATTGGTTATAGATTAAATGAGAAAGTGTATATGAAATTAATTTTTAAACAGTAAAATATTACATTTTCAATATTCAGTAAGTTTTTGAGGCACAAGGTATTGTTGATATTCAGTCACCTTCAGAAATGTACATAAAACCTCCTCACATGGTGCTCATTTTTTAGAGATTTTTAAAGTTTTATTGGGATATTCTTACATACAATAAACTGCACATGTTTAAATTTTCTAATGCTGTAAGATTTGACACATGAAACCATTCTCAGAATCAAGACAATGCATCCATCCATCATCCTCAAAAGTTTCTTTATGCTACTTTGTTATCCTCCATTACACTTCTTCCCCCATTCCAGGCAACTACTGATTCTGTCGTTATGGATTAATTGTCATTCGCTGAGATACTGTATAGATAGAATCATAACAGTTGTATTCTGTTTCTCTAACTCTCCTTTTTTTTTAAAAAAATTTTTTTGCCTAGCTTCTTTCATTCAGCACAATTATTTTGAGATTAAGCCATGTTTTTCATGAATCCATATTGATTTGTTTTTTATTGATAGATAGCATTCTCTTGTATGGGTATACTGCATTTTGTTTATCTACTTATTGGTGAACATTTGAGTTTTTTTCAGTTGTAGATTACTACAGAAAAAAATGCTATGAACATCTGTATTCAGGTCTTTGTGCAGACATAGATTTTCGTTTTTCTTGGGGAAACACTTAGGAGTTAAATGGCTGGGTTATATGGTGGGTATATGCCTTTTTCAGAATTCACCAAACTATATTCTACATTTTGCATTCCCATCAGCAGTAAATGAGAGTTTCAGTTGTTCTGCATCTTTGCCAATACTGGCATGGCTAGGCTTTTTAAAGTTAGCCATTTTAATAGGTGGGTAATGGTAGCTCATTGTGGCTTGAATTGGCATAGTTTTCAGTATAGCTTGGAGGATAAGAGTGGAACATTTATCTTTAAATTTTTAATTTTTTTTAAAAACCTCTGAATTTGGCAAGTCTGAATTCTGTGATAGCAACTTTCTCCTTTGAAAATAAAAATATGTTTAAAGTTTACCTGTTTGCTTGGTGCATTAACTACACAACGTACTTAGTGACTTTCCTACACAATTATTTAAGGGTAATCATTAAAGGAAATAAGAAATAGTGACAATAAAAGCATCAGTTCTCTTTTACGCCCATAGAAGTATTTAGAGCTTCTTTTCTTTGGCTTATGCTTTCCATATTTGTCAGTTTTAATTGTTTAAGAAAAAGTAAAATGATCTTTTTTCAAAATATGGTTTGCAACAAAATTGTTTCTTTTTATTTATTTATTTTTTTATTTTTTTAAAGATTTTATTTATTTATTTATTTGAGAGAGAGAGAGAAACAGCACGAGAGGGGAGAGGGTCAGAGGGAGAAGCAGGCTCCCTGCTGAGCCGGGAGCCCGATGTGGGACTCGATCCCAGGACTCCGGGACCATGACCTGAGCCTAAGGCAGTCGCTTAACCAACTGAGCCACCCAGGCGCCCCAAAATTGTTTCTTTTTAGCGAGAACTTATTCTTGATTATGAAGGACAAAAGAGTTTGAACTAAAATTTTTCTAAGAGGTTTTTTGTAAGATCTCTAGCCATTAGATTATTTTTTTTTACAGAAAAAGAACTATAACCTGAGATTTGAGTCTTCATCACACAAAAAGCAAGAGAAAACTATAACCCAAGTACTGTTTTATATCAAATAAGGGTTGACAACAGTGTTTTTATGCATCTGTTCTGCCCACATAAGAAGCCAGCTTTATCATCTGGATGTGTCCTGGGGCTGAAACTTCTTATAAATATGAGAATTTCACTTTTTTTTTTTAATGGCAAGCAGAATATGGTATCCAGCTGTGGATTTGCTTATATATTTTGTTTGCATTTTTTTCCTTGGGCTTGTTTTATACAGTATATGGCAATATGTTGTCATACAAATTCCATGATTAATGCTTATTTATGAAATCTTATGTAAATATCTTAGAACTTAGTCAAACAATGTGCAAGTTAAACAGTTTTTTCTCTGAATATTGGAATGACAAATCCAAGGGGAATAGTAGGTTGGATAGTTTATGTTCTTTATCTATAGCAGAGTCTCATATGTAACAAGTTCCTTTTACTATTTTATATTATGTCATTCTTTTTCACTTTATTTTGCTGGGCAAGAAATCCTGTTTCAGTTTCATTCCTCAGAAAAATAAGGAGAATTTAAATGTGGAAATAATTTAGAAATAAGAATGGTAATTATTTCATCTGTAATTAAATAATCATATTTACTAGTATATATTTGCTATCTAATTCTGATACTGACCTCTGCGTAAGAGGCATTTCTTTGTATTTGTTCTATTAGTCATATATTAAAAGCAATCCACTGTCCCATAATAAGCTGTTTTGTTAGCATTATTACCATATTAACATGATTTTCCCACAAAAATGCTAACTTGCTCATACCACAGTATGAATATGTGGCAAACTTTAAGTGTGAGTCAATTCGTTATATCTACTTCAAATTGAAATCATGATAAAATACTAAAATTGTAAACTTGTTATATGAATTTTCTCTGCATATCTCATCAGAATCATAGTACCATAAAATATTCATGATCATATGTATAATTATATTACTTATAATAATTATATAGCATAGATTATAGATCATGATATAATATGATCAGTGGGACATTAATAGATTTTTGTTTCATATATTCTTGTTTCCCTTGACTTGCTTTAATTTTCTCACAGGTAGTAATTTAGTTAATTGTGACCAGAAGTTGAAAGCTTCATTTTCCCTTTTTTTTTTCCTCCTGCTCAGGTGCAGCTCTTATATGAGCTAACCGAGATCATGAATAAGGTGTGGAATAAGATTCAGAGGAGAGGCAATCTCAGCCCTTCCTCCGCCTTTCCGGAAACCTCAGCAGGGCCGGTCCCGGGTTCTCCGGTGAGAAGCAGTGTAGGCACAGCTCCACCAGACACCAGCACATGCAGCCCATCTGCTGACGTTGGGACTACTACTGAGGTAAGTGTTTCTGAAAAATTCTCTTGCTGCTGAAGGGTGACATATACCACAGAGTTCTGTATCAGGACTGAGAATGAAGATGACCTCACTTCTGTGGAAGCTGGCAGGTTCCGAAGGCTCATGGGGAGCTGGGGTAGCAGTGGCTGTTTATTAATGATCCTTTTAGGTCCCAGGATTTTAATTACTTTCAGTAGGTAGTGGGGTAGTTCAGGACAGTGGGGGTTCTCTGAAATGGAAAAAACTGACACACAGTAAAGGTATGTTTCCTCAGAAGTATGGAAACTTAGAAACTGAGTGAAAGAGAGGCTCATGCTCCTTTGCCCCTGCCCTCTTTGCAAACCACGATGTTATTATTTATCTTGACATTAGTGGTTTTCAGTCCTGTCAGACCCAAAGTCCTCTCCTTCTCCCTCCTAGTCCTAGAAACCTTTCTTTTCATTTCTCGCACCCTAACCTCACCCAACGTGCCAGTGCCCTTTTATAACAAATATTTTATAATGCCCCTTTACTCTCTTGAAATGAAAATAAAAAATGATATAATCCACATATACATACAGTTTCGAAAATATCTAAGATCTTAAATAAAATATAATTCAGGGTATAATAACATGTATTTCAATATATGTATAAATGCTCAGTCATGACTGTTAGAAGAAGACCTAATGAAGTAGTCAGGTACATATAATTACTGTGACTGTCAGTGAGACAGATTCGAGAAGGTCTATACCCAATATCACATGTGGTACTGTTGTGACATCATTGTTGGTGGCATCATTTTCTGAAATAGTGGCAACCCCGGTAAAGTTTTGAACAAAACAATATTCTTCTTTTCATTTCAGTAGTTATGTTTCTGGAACTCTTAGTGTAATAAAATTGTGCAGAAATGCCAAAAAAGGGGTGCCTGGGTGGCTCAGTCGTTAAGCGTCTGCCTTCGGCTCAGGTCATGATCCCAGGGTGCTGGGATCGAGCCCCACGTCGGGCTCCCTGCTCGGCGGGAAGCCTGCTTCTCCCTCTCCCACTCCCCCTCCTTGTGTTCCCTCTCTTGCTGTGTCTCTCTCTGTCAAATAAATAAATAAAATCTTAAAAAAAGAAAAAAAAAAAGAAATGCCAAAAAAATAGTGTTTAGATCTCAAACTGAATTCAATTTTATTTCCAAATGTTTATATACAAAATTTTCACTTGTGTAATTTTCTATGAGCTAGGGAGCACTTGGGTGACTTAGTTAAGTGTGTGCTTTCGGCTCAGGTCATGATCTCAGGGTCCTCGGATTGAGCCCCGTGTTGGGCTCTGTGCTCAGTGGGGAACCTGCTTCTCCCTCTCCCTCTGCCCCCTCCCTGCACTGCTCGTGCTCTCTTTCTCTCTCTCAAATAAGTGAACAAAATCTTTAAAAATAAGTTTCTATGAGATAGTTTTTGTTTTTCAGGACTGTCTTACTTATCATAGAACCTCTTGATTCCCCTACTCCAAACCTTTAAATGCCAGTAGTGATGCCCAGTGATTGAGTCAGCCAAAAACATCAATACATTTCCAAAACACACCCTAGAGGCTGAAGTTGCCCACTGAGAACTACTAGAAAAGATAGAGGTAGAAATTAAGTTTTTGAATAAAGATATCATTTCCTGTGGAAATAAAGTTTTTGACAAAATACAGAATTGGAGTAAGAAGCAAGTAAAGGAGATATTTTTTTTTCAAACAAATCAGTAAAGGCAATCAAACTCAGTTAAATGGGCATTATTTTTTACTTGCTTTGAGGCTCTAACACATGTTAGAATAGATCTATTAGACAACAGCACAAGCAACTTCTCTATCCCTGCTCATTCTAAATTCTGAGAAACACAGTGATGGAATTACTTTTTTCACACCTCCCCTCACCCAAATGAGGCATAGGTCAAGAATCTAGAAATGTGCCATTATGAGGTCAATGGGGCATATCTCTTGTAGGATAAAAGCAGTGAGTTCTTTCTTGGAGATTCCAAATGTTCCTAGAATACAAAAGCTCCTGCAGTTTAAAAAAACAACACTGTATTGAATGCAGTAGTGTCCAAACTTGGTTAACCAAAGACTCTTTTTTCTACATATTAACATTGCACAGAATACACTTTGTGAAATATTTTGGAAGAGTAATCAAAGCTTGGGGTGATAAATTGCTAGACAAAGGATAGTACAAGTGAAATTGATAAATGAAGTTAAATCATACAGACATTTCACTGGCAGAAAGGAGAGTGTTCCATTAAACAGTTGTTTGCTAAGTATTTTATTTACTGGGATGTCCAAGTAAACATGACTACCTGTTTGGGGAGTGTTTTTTTTTTTTAGAAAGAAACATTTAAAAAACACTGAAAGACCAGTAAAGACAACGCTCTCATGGAATGGTCCCATCTGTTGCTCATGCATCTAGGGACTGCCATTCGCACAAAGTACAGTATAACCTACACAAAAGGACATGGTGGTCTTGATACAAGATGTAATAGAGATGAACATGCCCTGTAATTGTAGGAGTATGGTTAACAAATTTATTCTGTGGGATCTGTGGGGATTTTGCAGAGAAAGTGACATTTGAGGTGGATCTTAAAAAATGATTATGACATTAGTAACAATTTTGTTGTAGTAAGTGTATGGTAAGCTAAAAGAATGATGTCTTTATTAGCCCAAATGGGGAAATTAACAACGGGGAGGTTTTTTTCATAAAAAGAAATTAATTCTGATTTTAATAAATTCCTTACATTAATGCAATTAATTTAAACTTAGAATGTTGAGGATTCTTTCTGACTGAATTGTAAACATAAACAATGAAAATGCTCCCTAGTGGATTTATTGGTTTTATGTTAGCTATGGGTTTAATCTGATCTGTGTGAAGAAGATCTATAAATGAAAGAATCTTACTGCAAAAGATTCATTTATTGGAGAACCATGTAACAGACTTTTGGAGGAAAAAGTGGCAAATATTTCCAAAATGTACCATCTTGTTTACATGGAGTGATCATGAAAAGAGGTGAGTAGACCAAAATGGATTTGAAACCTACAATTACTTGTGAAACTTGTTCTCGGAGAAATATCTTAAAATAATTCAGCTGCTTTATTTTCCATAAATGGCAGGAAGATTTTTGTGAAGACTGTTATAATATGATAACCAGTGTTAGGGCTGAATCTAACTTTACAAATTAGAAGGTGTCTGTGTATTAAATATTTAATGTTTAATTTCTCTCCTTGCTCTCAAGAAGAGTTACCTGGAGATCAAGGTTAACTATGTATCCCCTTTGAGATCAGCCAGTAAATGTTTAGATTTACCCCTTTGAGAATTAGCCAGTAAATGATGATATCTGAAAGTACAATCCTTGTTTCCTCCTATGTGTATGGATGCTCCATCTATGACTCAATCTGTGGTTTAATTTATCCAGAATTCAAAATTTGTGCCCAAGTTTTTGTTTCTGAAGTCTCTTTGTTTATTGTGCTGCTAGAATTATGTGTACTGATCTTTGTAATTTTCATTACTTTAGAGTTCTAGCATGTTAGGTATCTTACTATGATCCTTTGAATTCCATTTTAAAAATATTTTTGTAATTTTGATGAATTTGCCTGTATATTTAAATATGTTAGTGGAAATAAAACCTTGTTCTCTAACTGGAGAAACTACTTAATAAATGGGGGCTAGGGAGGACAGTGAGGAGAGTGTACACATATATTTTGTGTTAATCCATTTTAAAAGCCTTTCTTCCAAAAAAAAAAAAAAAAAAAGCCTTTCTTCCTATTTGAACATGGCATTCCTGGAAAGCTCTAGCATCCCTTTCCTCCTTTTGGTAATCATCATCCTAATAATCTTTTGATTCTAAAAAGACATTCTATGAACAATACTATCATGTAAGCAACAGAACTCTCTGTGTACAGATTTAAGTATAACTTTTGTGGTTAGTTAGAGCAGTGCTTCCCTACCTTTTTCATGTCAATGCATATATAGAAAATGATATTCGTGTATGAAGTAATCAGAAAAATTTCTAAGTTATTGAAAGTCCTGTTTACCTCAGATCCTATCCAAAGACTCTGAAATCCAAGGGATCTATGTCTCAGCATAGTTGTGACACATCCCATGGTGTTTCCACACACTAATTAGGAAGCTCTGAGTTTACTCTTAAAATTTTTGTTTTTGCCCCAGTAACAAGTTGTTGATAGATTTAGATAAAATTGTTACATTGAAATTGTTTTGTAATTTTTTTTAAAGATTTTATTTATTTATTTGAGACAGAATGAGAGAGAGAGAGAGCTCATGAGAGGGGGGAGGGCCAGAGGGAGAAGCAGGCTTCCCGCTGAGCAGGGAGCCCGATGCGGGGCTCGATCCCAGGACTCCAGGATCATGACCTGAGCCGAAGGCAGTTGCTTAACCGACTGAGCCACCCAGGCGCCCCGAAATTGTTTTGTAATTATATTCTACCCTCCTCTCTCATTATAACAAAATAGTAGTATTATAAAAGTATAGGGCAATTGTGATACACCATTTAATTATTGTGACAGGCTCTTCTTCATATACCCAGGGCTAAGGAGAAAATTAAAAGTTAAATTGAAATGACATAATTATTTAATCCAAAATAGGTTTTAGAAAATCTATTATCAAGTTTCATGAGGTATTTGACTGACTACTTGACAGCTAGTTCTGAGTAAATCCCAGTATTGTCTTTCTCTTTACAAGAGCTGAGAACATAAAAGGCATACCCTTGATTAAACTGAAAATGTTGCCATTGAATTATTTATATATATAAATATGCCTAAACTCAGGGCCTAATGCAAAAATTTTATGAAGGAGATTTACATTAGCTTTATATTTTGGAGTACCCTCTAAACTGAGTACTTTATAAGCATTATTTCTTTTAATTCTCAAACCAATGTTATGAGGTGGGTAATATTATCATTTCCTTTTTATATTGAAATATTTATGTCTACAAAGGTTAAGTAATTTGCTTGTGGTCAGAGCGAATAAGTGGTAAACCTGAAATGAAAGTTTCTGCATT